CACAATAACTTTACTGCGTATTGTAATGAATTACTGTAATGCAAATTACTGTAATGCTTTCTCTTCATGAGTATTTCAGGCTTAGTCATTTGCTATACTGACGAAATGTCTCAAACAGAAGTCCAACTTCAGTAACCAGTTTCTTTTCACCTCCTACTCACGAATCTCAAGAACTCTTTTATTGTTAAAGTCAGCTGGGAACTAATTCTAAGTACAGTAAACCACACCTATCTCGAAACTCTATCATATTACCAAATAATAAAATTGTCCTTACACACAACCAGTCACTTTAGTGCACTTAAAATTATTTTGCAATTTTTGATCTAAAAAAAATTTATAAAAGTCGATCTTTCCACTTTCTCTATTAGGAAGCTATAAAGGTAACTTGCGTCTCTTCTATTACTACTGATACTTCCAACATTATCCCTTATAGCGGAATCAATTTGTATTCCTCATTCCACTTCCTAACCTCTCTGTCCCTTACCAGAAATGTGTTGTTCGGTATCATCTTAAAAAACTGTGTGAAATTTAACTTTTAAAGCGTTTCAATGTTAACTCAGCATCTCTCTCCCTTGTTAGCATGAGTAATACTAAAAACTGTTCAATCATCTGCGCATGACTTTGCTGTCGGCTAAAATAACCAAAACAACAAGAACGCAAAATGATTCCTTATAGCGGAATCAATTTGTATTCCTCACTCATTCCACTTTCTAATCTCTCTCCCTTTCTCCGTTCTATTCCACCACTGCCATTGCTCTTATGCAAACAAAACTCAAGCAGTAAAGCAATACAGTGCCACTCACGGAGACACACAGATAAGCACTAAACCAATACCAAAACGATGGCGACAAGGACGAGAAGCTCGTCATCCGAAACCATATTATATCTTATACCTTCCCTGAAAAATCGAACCGGAGGGGTTGACAAAGAATATGAATCAAAAGATCATGTTTAATTATCTACACCTACAGTATTTGTTAATGATCAAATAATATTTCAAACATTGCAAAGTTGATGAATGAATAAATATGATCTAATAATAAATATCAAATGTGTTCCAGAAAAAAAAACTTCTTTGGATATAGAATATTGTTTTGATGCTCTGTATGATTATTTCACATTGATGAACTAACTTTAGAGAAATGGGCTGACGAAAATTAACTCATAAAAACAACAGTGATGTGTATCTGATCTTAAATTCATCAGTACAAATTATCGATCTTCAGCAGAAGTCTTGCAAAACGGTATACGAATAATAAACCTGATTCAATAACTTTCATTTCATTTTTTTCCTTCATCCTCAACTAAATATATTTAATTGGAATTAAATGAAAATCAACATTTCATGAAAATGAGAAATCTTCAACAGATAAATTATTACAAAAAGAAATTCTAGAGCTAGAGCTCTAGAATGTTCATAATAAAATGTTCATAATGATTAGATGAAGAGATACTTCAAGACGCTAAGACATCCTATAACGCAGCAACTCCTTCTTAGCTCTCTTTGAAATCACCAAAAACAAACCAATTAAATATTTGAAAGGAATGCATTATACTGGATCTCTATTGCTGTTGATGTTGCTGCATGGACTGCAATTTCCGCCTGAGGACGACGATTAACCTATGCTGCCTGAAAAACGAAACAAAAATTGGCTCGAAAACTCAAAAAGTGCAATATTGATAAGTTCATTATCCTGAACTTTTTTCCATAGAAAGCATATCAAAATGTAAAATATACTCTAAGCCGAACCAACAAAACAAACTAAATCATTCCCTATCCAATAACAGTTCATCCACTTTTACAGATCAAAGTTAGAAATCTAAAAATCTTAATAGGGATTCAAATTAAAATAAATTATCCCAAATCAGCATAAAAATTCGCACAATGTGAGCTAAAATTTTAATTAAAATATATATAATACAACTCATTAAAAAGGTCATAAAATTGACGAATAATTACAGATCAGATCAGTTTGTAAGGGTGAAAGATCATTATAGCCCACTTACTACAGTAATCCATACTTGTCAAGCAATCACAGTAACCTAGAAATTTTATGAATCATTTTTACATTTGTGTGCAATCGGAATACATCACTAATGTAATAAAAAATTCGATCATAAATTTATTAATGATTTCCTTTAAGGACGGTCGGATCAGGCATTACCATAAAATGATTCTTATGAAATGAGATGAATGAATAGAAATGAATAAAATTAATGAGAACGAAATGGGGCCAAAATGTGTTGAAGGAAGTAATTTTTCATGAACATCAAAGGTTGAAGCCGACCGAGGTCTACCAAGGATGATCACGATTAGCTTAACGACTACTTTAAGTAGGGATATAAGTACGGTAAAAGGTATGCCACGTATCAGCAAAAGACATAAATGAAAAGCTTTCAGGTTATATAAGCGAAATTGAAGAAGACAAAAAGAAACAGCCGAAAATTCGGAGTAAAAATAATCAAGATAGCATTTCCCATCCTTAAAACAACTATCGTATTTCTATCATAAGGACCATTTAAAACCTTCGCGCTCTACTTCTGATCTCCTGCAGTGCCTTAAGTATAACGAACTATTGTTGTACTATGTACTGACTTTTTGCTGAAGTGACACTTGAAACTGCTTAATAAAAACTTTTTTGTTTTTTTTATTTTTATGGGAAATTATGGAAATGATAGTAAATAAACAGAAAAATGATTATGCATAATTATCTTCCGGAACGGAGGCGATCAATTCTCTTGTTTGATCCTACCATTCATATTTGTACATATTTTAATATGAACAACTGACTACTAAAAAGTTTCGAACTTTAAGTAGATAAATCATACATATTCGTTATTCCAATTCAATACCAAGTCATAAGATTTGTTTACAATCGATAGACACATAGACAATTTTATAATGTTCCACAAGTGGCATAATACGTAATTTCAGAATCTGGAAAGTCCATCTTATGTAAAACATATTTATAATCCGACTAAATGGTTGCGCATTAAAAGAGGCACCGAATTGGAATATGCAAGCATAGTCCCGTTTCTTAAACCTTCACGCTCCATAGCAGCGCCCTACCTGGATAACAAAACTTTTGAGCACTTTGTCAAGTACATGTTAATAAATTCATTACAAAGCAATAAGTATGAATTAGGGACCGTCTGCCTTGACTACCTCATATTTTCTGCAATTCGTACACACGTATCCATTATATCTCTGTAGTGAATTAGTCCAAGGAAGAAACAAAAATTTGGGACCATTTTAGGAATAAATTTTTGTTTTGTATTCTAAAATAAAAGAACCCAAAGCTGCAAAAGATTACACTCATGGAACGATTTCTAAGAAAGCAAATGACAAATATTACGTTTTATTTTTCCAATCGATAGATTACCCTTTATTCTTAATCCAATTGCATCCTATTTTTCATTTTGAGGCATATTCTTTTTCAAAAAATAAGACGAATAAATTGATTTAAATCAATTTTAGTATGCTTTAAATTAAAATATAAAACTTTACATACGGCAATATTTTTGAAATTTCTTAATAAATTCCATAATAAATAAAAATAAACCTTTCACAAGATGGTGTATTTTTTAAAATCTAAAACTTCTATTTCGCCGAAGAAAACTGAATTAGTACAACTATAATACCAATTTAGGTCAAGAAGCTAAAATAATGCTAACAGTTCTCTTTGAAAAATGCTTCTCTTTCTTTCTTCAGTTACATAACTTCTCGAATGCATTTGTTTGGAACGAATTTTTTATTGATTTCTTAACTATCTTGTGTAAACTATATTACGTAATAATCAGCAAATGTTCCAATCACTTCGTCGATCGACATTAACGGACGATGTGCTATGGTAAATGCAATATGCACAAGTTATATTTTCGATAGGCTATGCTAAATCCAGTCTAAATCTTCTAAAAGAAAGAGAAAGTAATCAGTCAGAATTATCGTTAGGTTTCTGTTAGTTCAGATTATGAGCAGCTGTTTTGATGATTATTTTTGATGATTATTGACTAATGATTATCATGGCATCAAAGTGCAAAATCAAATCACAAACTGTTTTATCATTTATTTGTTCAGTTATTTTGTTAATCAGTTAATAGTTAAGTGAGAATGAGAGAATAAAAGACTTCAGTTTCCATCACTTATTAATTAGTGCATTTAAGGAAAGTAGAAAAAACAAATTCTTTTGTCTTAACAAAAAATTCTTCCAGAATTTTCAGTCTTGCTTAGATTTTCGATTAACTCAGATAAGAAACCTCACTATTTTGATCCTTTCCGTACGCTTGAAAAATATTTAACCTTATAATTTATGTATTTTCATGAGCGCTTCTATCATAATAACGTTAGGAAAAGAGAGGAAAAAAAAAGAAAGAAGGTAAAAGCGATATTCCGCTGAAACGTGAACTATAATATATTTGGGAAAAGAGTTGGTGAAGGATAATATGTTGTGTAAACATACTTCATTTGGGATACAGATGAATGAATGCATGAACAAACGAGAAGTCAGAAAACACCTGTGGTGCAGGGGTCAAACCCTCTAAATGTGTGGGAACACCACACCAGAAAGTTAAAGCTAAGCAGTTTATTTGCCATGAATTAGAAACATCAATTAATAAAAAGAAGTCAAAATCGAGATGTGAAACAGAAACTGAGAAATTAGTTTTGGACAGGAATATTGAACTCGAATACTATGAAATGTGAGTATTGCACTATGTACTGTTTTGGGTCAAAATACAATCTTAGATGACAGATCAGGACCTAAAGCACATATTCAGAGGTTTACAAGCCCAAAAAGTTACCTTGATATATAACTCAATCTCAGTAACATCATGAGCACTCCGTGAATTTGTTGAGAGTTGGCAGACGGTTTCACACTTCTGTTTTCATAGGTATTTTTATGTTTTGATATTATAATGTTATCTCGGCGCCATTGAAAGTTTGATTTTAGAGAAACCTAAATTACTTGACTGAAAAGATTCAAATCAAAACATAACGCTACTTACATTTCGACATCTTTTTTCAATTTCTTATTTTCTTCCACCAACGATACCTGCAACACTCCATCGGTTATTTCATTCCCAATCCTTTTACGAGGTGGTGGTGTGGGAGTGTTCCATGCTGCTTCTAATCTGAAAACCTGCTTTTGAGCACATGAGATATAAATAAGGAATAAAAATTCCAAAGCAAAATGAAATACTTTCAAATAACAACTTAACTTTATTGCTCAAAAATTTCTAAGGTTTATAGATAAGTATGCAAAATCTTGAAACCTGGTTACGTTATCCTCCGATTCTTTCAATCTCTCTTCTATATCCGATTGTTCCGATATTTCCTTGTTCTCCTTCAATTCTCGTTGCATCTCATCCATTTCCTTTCGTATCCTGAAATTCGAAGGCACTCTAAATAAAAAGAACTTCCAATCCCTCTAATTAAATACGTAAACTTGGAGACGAGAAGTATTCGAAAAATGTTTTCCTTACGAACTTACAGATCTAATTCTTCATAGGTTTTGTTAGTTGGATTTACCGAATTTAAATTATCTTTATAAACAACTAGACCGAAATCTTCTGAAAGTTAGTAAATGGTACTTCCACTAACAGTTGCATTACACTGAGATATGTTGCACCGATTAATAGAACATTCCAGCGAACAATAAATGCCATACGATATACAAAAAACTTCATCATGTTCCTTTGTTTCTAATATTTTTTTCGCTTTTTAAATTCACCTTTCGTTTTGGTTTCGTAATTCTTCATTTTCATCCTTCATCAACTTCATCTCTCGTTTCAATGTTTCCATTTGGTTATTCGACTTTACTGTCCACTCTTTGTCATACTGCCGCAACCGCCTCTCGAAATCATCCGTAAGCCTTCTCAATTCCTCTCGATTTCCCTCCTGTAACAATTTCTCTGTACACTTTCAATGTTCATCATGATTTTTCAGCAATCCTCCTTTTGTAAGATAATCTTGCATACTCTGTTTTTTTACTACTTTAACAGTTCACTTGCAAGGTGAGCATTTTCGGTCATTAATTCACTTAATTCAAATGATTCAATCTCAAAGATGACCTATTCATTTCTAAATAAATAAATTGCATGATGGTCTGGAAGCTTTCTTAATCAATTCGATCGCAAGTTACATGATTGCAGAAAATATTGCAAATTATTCTGTAATTTCTAGAAGAAACGTATAGATTGCTTGAAGTAAGGAATGTGCACTTACTAGAGATTTCTTGAAAGTACCTATATGGTTGTTAAAGTAGTTGTAAATATGACAACCAAATAGTAATTTACTGTATTATCATTATCTATCTTTTGGAAGCTAAAAAAAATATTCTATTAAATCAGCCCACTACAACATCTCTTCATTTATAACGTATCGCATACATCAAAGATTTCTGAATTCTGTCTTCTTAAGCTTTCACCTGCCTTTCCGCTTCCTTTTCTAGAATATTTCTTGTCTTCAGTGCGTTAAGTTCATTTTTGAGACGTTCAGTTTCATCCAAAAGACGCACTTTTTCGGTACCTGAAATTTGAATTAAGATTTCGAAAGGCCATATTTTCCATTATTACACAGACAAATTCGATCCGCAGAGAAAATAGAAGATTGACGAACTAGTGTTTCCAAATCCAATAGTGCAAGGGTGAAAGAGGAATACAAAACAGTCTCTTTTAAATTAGATCTACCTTTCACAGCTAAATAAGCACCACAATCATTACTGTTTTATAACGAACCTAAATCGATGATTCGTTTTCGTTCAACTTCCAATTCGTTGCTAAGTCTTTTGATCTCCTCACTGAATGTTTTATTTATTTTGGCTATCTTTTCAAATTCTTCTTTCTCAGCTTGCGCATTTGCTTCGCTCTTATCGCACTCCAATTTCCATTTCTCCTGAAAAAACTTTCATAACTAGAACTAGTTGTCTGTTAGAAATATTTGACTTGAACAACAATGTCCGTAGATTTAATTTTAAAACTTTTTACTGTTTACAGCATGAAAGTCAATATTCCACGAATCCCCATCCTCTTATACTTATTTCAAAAGAGAGACGTACTTGGTTGCAGGGGAATAAATCATTCTTCCAAAAATTAGGGACGATATTATACACTTCATAAGATGTGACAAATTAAATGTATTTTCGAACAGCTATTAAAATCAAAAGGGCTATGACCACACCTCGATGGTCTGAATTTGTTGGCGCAAATCATGGGGTTCATGTTGCCGATCACTCTTAGTTTGAACTTTTAATCTTGCTAATTCCTGAGCTTGACGCTCACCTTCCGCTATCGCTTCATCTAGCTGTTGTCGAGTTACTTCTAGCTGCATCCGTTCGCTGTAAAACAGAAAAACCCTCAGATCTAAGATCCCATACACAAACTTCTTTCGTTAGAAAAATCTCTCCTCTTTCTTCAGCAAAAGGATATATTACATAGTGTGCAATACAGTAATAAAGGTAATAAAACTATTCCTTGAAAAAAAATTCCATTCGATCTGAATAAAATTTAATAGGAAACAGTAGGGAGTAACGTACGACACAGAAAGAGTTAGCGACAGCGAAGCGGGAGGTAAAGCTCTGAAACCCTAAAAAACTTTGATTTGAACTTTGAATTTCCTAGAAATTCTTCGTGAAACAACAAGCTCTATAATTAGATACGTTGAAAGAATATGAGCATGGCAACATATGAAAAGTATGATGCCACTAAATAAATAAAGCGTAATAAATACCGTTTGTACTGATAAGAAACCAATAATGCATAGCACAGTGACATTAAGTGATAAGGAGGAAAGTTATTGATTCCAATTGCTTTTCAATTTTAGTGAAGCTAATATAAAGCAAAGGTATGGTTTTTGCGATATTTTAATCAGCTTAAGGCTTCAAGTGATAGAAATATGAATTCAAGAACGGAAAAAAATGAACGTCAACAAATCACATACAAATGTAAACATTACAGTAAAATACAATCAAAACTGCACCATCTGTTGACGAGTAAAATGTAGCTGTAAGTTAAGGATAGAAGCATGTTATAGCATATAGTATACCTTTTGTTCGATAAAAAAATCATCAATAAAGTTCTAGCAAATGAAAATTGCGGACAGATAAGAATGGATGAGTGTTTCCTCATCTAAACAACGGTTAAAGGGAAATTTATTATAATTACCATGAAAGCCGTTCCATTTCCTTCAGTTGCTCGAATGCTTCTGCTTTTAGCTGCTCTTTTTCCGTATTGGCAATATTTAGGAAATTTCTCAAATGGTTCACTTCCTTCGAGAGATTTTCAGACTGCTCTCGTAATCGTTTCACTTCTGCCCCTGATAGTTCATAGGCCTGACGAGCTTTATCCAATTGCTGATTAAGATCATTCACTTCGTCAGTATGCTTTTTCATGTTTCCATTTTCCATTTCGACCAGTTGCTCTTTTAATTCCGTCAACTTCACTTTCAATGATGAACATTCATCGAGAAGATTTTTATTTTCAAACTCGATCACTCTATTTCGTTCTTCTAGACGACTGCTTTCTTGAAGACGTGTTTTGCAAGATCTTATATCATTTGTTAAAATTTCAATATCTTTTTTCAAACTAGCAATATCCAAATCTCTCTCTTCTACTTCTCGTTTATACTGTTCCCGACATTCTTGAACATTCGCTAATTCCGCCTTTAGCTTTTCAATTTGTTTCTCAAATGGATCCAAACATTTCTGGTTTTCAAGTTTATCACTTTTTATATCCTTTTCCGTTTCTTTAATCAAATCCAAAATTCCTTTATTTTCCTGAATGGTTGCCTGGAGCATCTGAATATGTTTCTGAAGGCACTTTCTGTCCATTTCTTCGTCTCTTATTTGTTTTTTCAGAAAAGCTAACTCTGCTCTAAGACTCCAAATTTCACTACTAGACTTGGATTTCCAAAGTTGTTCATTGACAGCATCCGAACTCCTATTTACCTGACAATCAAAATTATCAATTTCTTGTTCTAATAACAAACCATTTCTATCTGTATGCTTTAGAGCTTCGTCATCATCATTATTTACGGAAATGATGTGTCTTCCCTCTTTCATCTCCACCCTTGTTTGAGTAGTTCTGTTGATCATTATTGGTTGACAATCACCATGTTCGAATAATAATTTTTCCTCAAGTACATCAGCTATGCATTCTTTTAAAGTAGCCAATTTCTCCTCGAAATCAGATTTTGGACTCAAATCCAGATTTTGTGCTTCACTGCTTTGAAATTTACGATGTTGATCTATTCTGAAAGACACAACACTGCCGCCTTTGACAGCTAATTCCTTCCTCAGATTCGTTATTACATCATTGAGCTAGAAAGCAACAGAATTATGTATTAATAACACAGTTCCAACAAAAACTATGAAAAAAGGAAAAAAATCATCTTTTAGAAAGAATACGGATATAAAAGGTCACTGAACTTATATTAACAAAAAAGTTTACTATTTATAAAAATATATCAAGAAAATGAGAGTCCATTAATCACAACAGATTATACACAGAAATTGTGAACCTATAGAATTCAAAAATAATGAGTTTCTTAGAAGTAAAAGAAAAACTTAGAAAGACGAGAAAAAATTGAAAACAAAGCAATTAACTTCAAAGTAAATTTTTGGCATCCATCTCGAAAACCTAAAGATTACTTCATCTTAATTCTTCTTCCTTTTTTGCGTTAAAATCCACATTTGAAAATTTTTGATCACCAAGATTTTTTTATAACTGTCACCTTACTTCTTCAATTTTTCCGCTTTCAGAAGCTTTCAGTTTCCCCAGTTCTTTATTTAGTTCAGCAATCTGCTGCTCATACTCTTGCTTTGCTTCAACCAACATTTTCTGATGTTTCGATCTCAAATCATCTTGTAGAGATGAGAACATCTTTTCCTATAAGGCAAAGTAATAACATCAGATCTTTTTAATTGAAAAAATAATAAATTATAATATTAAAAAGGTTCCTTAACAATTCATTCTGTATATTATTCTTCACCATATTAGATGTAAAAGTGATAGTTTTTTGGAAAGGTAAAACCATCACGAATATAGTCTCCAAATTTGTAATTCAATGAATTTTTCGTTACCTTTTCAATTATTTGTTCTTCAAGCTTTGAGATTTTATTCCTAAGTTCAACCAAAACGAGTCCATCTTTCTGCTGCTGAGCAATATTATCACTCTAGAAATGAAAATAATTCAAATAATTTATTTACCAGAGGAAAATTATTTTCCAGAAGTAGCAAAACGGTATATGAAACTAAAGAAAGGTTTCAAATATCGATTAAAATAATTATAGTTTCCGATTCCGAATACTTGGTAAATCATAAATTTAACATGCTTTACGGAATAAAGCTTTAATTACAATTTTATAAAAAATTCTTAATCCTCCCTGAAATCTATTCTTTTACTCGTTCTTAGTAAGTATATGATTTAATTTCACAATAAATGAAATTAAAATAATAAAATTTTGAATGCATTTATTATTCACCTTACATTTTTCCATTTCTTTTTTCATTTCATCTCGTTCAGACCTAGCCAATTGAACATCTTGTTGCAATGCCTGAGTTTGTGCATCAATATCTATTAACAAACGTTCATTTTCTTCATGCATTTCACGCAATTCCTTCCGAAGTTTTGCGATTTCATCATGCCTTATACTAAACTTACTTGAAATTAATTAGAAATGTCGAGATTATAATCAAGTATTAAAAATATTCAAAACTTTGTTTCATTGCCCCTCCTATGATATCATAAAATGAAGTGTAAAGTTAATTATGCCGCAACTCTGCAAATCCTTTCCATCTGATAAATATGAAATTTTCTTTCAAATGATTCAAAATGATCCGGTATTCTGCATGGAACTTAAAAATTCAGGTACTTCGATTTGAAGTTGGTATGAGTTAAAAAACTAAACAAACCTAATTTCATCGCGGGCTGACTGCAATGAAGTAGCTAAAGTGAGCACTTCATCTTCTAAGCTTGCTTTCGCCAAAAGCTTCTCATATTCCGCTTTGAATGTTTCTAAGTTTTTATTAGCAACAGCCAACGTAGAGCGAACCTCCTCAAGTTCCTTCATCAGCATTTCACATTTCTTCTCGTACTTCTCGCTGAATTCAAAGACACGGTGATACAGTTAAGGATGGAAAGAGAATTCCGTGAATATATCAGAAATAAATACTAGTACTCGGGATGCAAAATTCGTATCGTTAGTAAATCAAACTTCTCTTACCTAATTTCTTGATTTTTCCTCATTTTCTCCTCAGCCATTAATATATGTTTGTTCTGTTTCTCTTCATCAATTTCTAGAATTTTCAACTTTTCTTGGAGAGAACGAACTTCTTCTTCGAGCTCGTCAATAGTTTCACGAGTGGAACGTTCCGCTTCCTCAAAATAAAGCTTTAAAGAGTAAGTAATTTGTTAATACTACTGTTATATCACGTCCTATTTCTTCAATTTACTTTAATGTATCTAGTTTATCTTCATATCATTCAGATCAGTTCCAAAGTGTGAAGTTAGGTCACATCAATCTTGAAACTTATTATTAAGCATGACAGATTTATTAAATCTTCAGTCTCTGATAAAGAGAATTGAAATAGAGCTAAAGTTCCAAAAATCAGAAATTAAAGAAAAAGATTTCTGCATACAAAAAGCATTCTAAATGGATAAGAATGAATAAGGAATAGATAAAGTGCATATTTAATTTACAAGATTAATCTACCAACATCAGCATCCGCTTCAGCTTTTTCCAAATCAGCAGCCTGAGCAGCTATTTTATATTTTGCTTGCTTCAATTCTTCGCGCAATAATTGCATCTAGAATGAGTTTATTACGCACCTCATTTAAACTGATTATCACAAATTATTGGAACAGTCCAGCTGTTAAAAAAATCCCTCGACACTAATGTAGTGTAAAGTATTACACTCCATAACCACTCTAAATCCATCTTTATCTTCATGGTCGTTTCTCAATAATTACTTTTACGTTAAACTTGTCGCGACTTTCATTAATATTCATAAACATAATGTCCAATTTAAATAAATTGAAAGTTCGAGAATTTTTTGTTGAGTAGCAAAAAATCAGGAAAAAAAACCAAATCAAATGTAACTTCTCATTGCGATAGAATAATCAAAGTAAATCTATAGAACTATTTTAGTTTTCAACTTTACCTGTTCATCAACACTACGCCGGCTGTCAGCTTGCACCCTCAAGAGTTTTATTTCCTGTTCTAGATCAGTGATTTTCATCTGGCAATTTCTTGCTTCATGTTCTGCTTCTTGTGTTTGCATTTCCGCCATTTTTAAACTCTGCTAAAAGAGACAAAGCGCTTAATTACTTCACTTTAATCATCCTTACTGTACTATTTGGAAACATACTTTTATGGAAATCAATACTTTTATGGAAATCAATACTTTTATGGAAATCAATTGAAAAAATTAGTTTCTTCTACTCAAGAAATGAAAAAGAAGCTTGCATCCACTACTAAATTCCACTTTTAAACATTATATCAACAAACATAATTGTACTTGCAGATAAGAAAACTCAAAAAATATAAAAACTAACACTAAATTTCGTTTCCTGTAATCTCATTTCTTCCTCAAATTTCTTTCTAGCATCTATCAAAATATCGTTTTCCAGTGTAAGTTTTGCTTCAGAATCCTTTTTCAAAATATCATACCTGGATTAAAAAAATATTAAGTATAATAATTAAAAACAATACACACACAAGGTAGAAGAATTGCATCACTCATGTCCAAAATTGCGTTTAAATTTACCAAATACAGTGTATGATTTATAATGAAATACAGTAATGCAAATGATAAGAAGTCAACAATAGAGACAATAACAGTACTTAAGAAGATATGTGAGATTTATTATAATTATCAATTCCTATTTCTGGTTTAGGATTCCAATGTAAGCAACCAAAACAATATCAAACTATACATAATAAAAATAATTTTTCTTTCCTTGCCTCTTTTAAAAATAATTTTTCTCTTTTCGTCTTTCTGCATCCCATCTCTTTCATCCCTTCTTTCTTTAATTAATTGTATACCTTATTGAATTTTAGGTTTACAATAGGAAAATAAGCTAGCAAAGTACTGAACTTCCCTATAGGAAATATTTAGTGGCCAAAGAAACAGATATTTCTTTCGAATACTAAATATAAGAAAGATTTTCAACAACAGTGCAAGTATACTTTGCAGTAAATGAATTTACCATTAAAATACTGAAAACATACTTTTCCTCACATTCTGCCAAATTCTTTTGGCTTTCCTCCAATTGTTTACTTACTTTTTCTGCATCTAATTTATATTTCTTCAAAATCTCTTGAAGCTGTGAAATTTCGTGCACTTTCTGAAACAATCTATTTCAAAGGATGCTGATAAAACTTACGGTTTTATAATCTTACAAATTAAAATAAAATTTTCCGAACCATCTTGAAAACGGGTCCGTATAAAACAAGCTTCAGTGGAGCCAATGCTAACAGAACATCAAAATTCTTTACGAACTTGAATCAGATTGCAAGGATATAGTTATAAAATTTCTGCAGCTGGAGAAGTTAGATAACAGAATTTGAGAGAAAATTGAAGTTTGCTTACACTGTTTCGCATGACTGATAATTCAGCTTCCCCTTTCTGCATATTTTCTAATGCGAAATTCAGTTCACTTTGTAACTTTTCAATTTCCTAAATTTCAAAAAATTTCAGTGTAGTTTTGAAGTTTAAAAAAAATGAGTTTTAAGATTAGAAGGGCTTAATAGTATTATAAAACTGTAATGACAAAATGTAATGCTTGGGAGGAACCAAAAAATTTACATCACTTTGTTTGGACAATTCCGCTTCCTTCTTTTTTACAGTTTCTCGCACGGATTCCAATTCGCTTTGAAGAGTTGTAAGTTTCTAAATCAGATGAAAAAGGAGTGCTGCTACAAAAAGAATTTTCTGTATTTTAACAAATATTCAAAAACGTGAATTCTGTGGTTGAGCGAAAATTTTTCGATAACCTTCTTCATTACTTTTGAAAATGGAAAAAAAATCCATAGCTAATTGAGTTAAATTGATATAACGAATTATAGCGCTCTGTATAACCTGAGGAATTAAAAGAGTTAATAGAGGCCTTTAACAGCTGGAAATGCTTTTACAGAAATAATCCATTACTTCATTACAGAATTTTCAGTGTTCGTAAAGTAATGCCTACCTTCTCATTCTCTAATTTCATCTCTTCAATTTCGGAAACGTGTCTCTTCACTTCATTCTTGGTCTCATCAATTTGATTTCGCATTTCCTCATTTTCCACTGTTAATCGAGTTATCATTGCTGAGTCTGCTTCATTCGTCTTGATATCCTAAAAAAAAAAAAACTATATTCGTGATCACAAAGCAAAAAAAGAACGTATGAAGTTACCTGTTTGGCAAGCATTAAGCTTTGTAATGCAGCCGATTTCATTTGTAAATCCCGCTGTAACTCTTCAATACTACTTTCCAATTGGATCTTCTCGTTGTTCATAATCAAACGAAGCCTTTTTGATTCATCCTGAGCATTTTCTACTTCCTGATTCTTGCATCGCACTTCCTCTTGCAAGTTATGCACATCTGTATTAAGCCGAGACTGAATATCCTGAAATTCTCAATAATATTCAGCATAAGAGGTCTTACGCACTTAACATGGTTATTGCATAGTTATTAAAATCAAAAGTGTTGCAAATTATTGGAATGATCGTTTCTGAACAGTTCAGCGGCAAAAAAATGCTATACTAACCTAATTTTTATTCAGGAAACACATTTTGCTGCCTTAATGTCTTCCGAAAATTGACGCGTTCATTGATAACTTCTTATTTTCTAGGAAAAAAGAAGTGCAAAACATGAGATCAAAACTAACCAGGATATCGGCAATCTGTTTCTTTAACTTTTCATTCTCATCTTTTAACACATTCTGTTCCTGACGATCCAAAGTATCTCGATTTGCATCCGCTAACTGTGCTATTAAACTGTTGATCTGAAATCAGAAATAATAAATTTTGCAATGTGATTGGGTTCCAAACTCTAAATTGAACTTTATCTTGAAATGACTGCATACTTTTAAATATGTCGACAATCGATGACATTTTAAAACCAGATCATTAATTTGGATGTAACTTCTCTTGTTCCTCTTGGTTTTTAACTACAGCTTATCTACTGTAATTGATAGCTTGAAAAAACAAAACAAGCAATGCATTTCTAAAGACCACTCTTTTCGTTCGAGTGTAAGCAAACTTACTTTGAGGAAAAACCATGAAAAATAATACCTGCATGAAAAGCTCTTGTTTTTCGGCCTGCTCCCGATCTAATTGCATGGTTAGTTCCCGTTTTTGACCTTGTAGCACCTGAACATCCATTGGTTGCTTCGCTTCCAACATTCGCTTCTGATTTTCCCATTGCTGCCTCAAATATAAACTTTCGTCTTAAGAAACTAAAACTTTGTTTCTAGTGATCTAACAGTTTAGGGAAATGGGTCTTCTTCACTATTTATCACTTGGATTACTACTACTTATCTCGACCTTTGAATTCGAAATGACCTTCTACATCTTTCGAAAACTCCAAATCCACGAAAATTAGCTTAATAAACGTTTTATTATATAACCGAAAAACAAAGAGTAAGTTTAATTCTTTTTACTAAAAATAACAGCAGCTTAAATAGTGTTGCGTGAACAATAACAAGAAAGGGGCGAAAAGAATCAAGACAAGACCTAGTAAACACAATATACGAACAGAGGAAAGAGGGAATTAAATTATATAAAGACAAAGACTGGAGCTTTCAAAAAAAATTTTTTTTTTTAATTTATAATTCTCGAAATATTTCAGGAAAACCTGAAACCTTTTATAAAAAATGAACCCAAAGTTCCGAGTAACTTTTTTTATGATACTGCCCTCTCAATAAGTAGAATAAATAGAGGTTTCAATAAGTAGAAATATCATCAATACAGATAAGACAAAGGTTCGCAGGTTTTATGCTTTTATCAATTTAAATATGATCTAAGTTGAAAAAATTTTGTAAATTAATTTATATAATGAAAAGAAAATAAGTAGTTCTTTACCTGTCTCTCTCGAATTTTTCCACCTTCTTCCTTAGCGAATCGCATTCTGAAGTACGCTGTTTGAGAATTTTCTGCAAAATGAATATTTTTAAAATTCATACATGCAGTTCAAAATGTGAAAGTAACTTTAAATGCTACTTCATAATTCCCCTTGGTATAGTATTTCTTATGTTAATAATGGATATTTGAAGAAATACAGTTAGTTATCACACTTGAACCAGGACAAATCAAATGTTGCCAATACCATTCCCGTGATGTTATTAGAGCCTTAAAATCAGCATGAGAACTGACTGTATAGAAAAACAGAAGCTTCCATTTAATTGAACACCTATATCGTACGAAGTAAAACAGGACGCTAATCAATAATTCTAATTTCACTTAAACTTTAACTAATTAACTAAGCACGACTTTCTATTTGAGTCATCTTTTTATTATTTAATAAAGAATTAAACAGATTGGTTTCTATCAATTATTTGCTTGCTATGAATTTTGTGAATTGTAGCATATATGCTGTAACACTTTTTTTTAATGCAAACTGTACTTCTAAGCATAGTACAGAAATTGAGAAAGAATCTAAACATGGATTCATTTATGTAAGCGAACATTCACTTTATTACCATCCCTCTGATTTCATTCTTAGAAAGTCTTTAGGAGAATTTCTAAAGAGAATCAGTCCTTTTATATATTTTCCTCTTTCACAAAAGATTGGAATTCAATCATTTCTGATCTTTAGGTTAGACATATCGGCATGTCAAAATTCTCGTCTTTAAAAGAAATTTAGTTTTATCGATTTATCAATCAAAGTATTGATGCTTGAAAGTCTCAATTTTTTATTGATATCTTCATTGCTGTGTGCAAACATGATTCGCTCATGCTGAAACGTGAAATGAAGCCTATCATCTTATCAGCAGTGTTTATCATTGTTTGAACAATAATATTAATCAAATAATAGCCAGCATTATGGGCAAAGATCAGCAACATTTCAATCAACGAATCCATCCATAAACATAGTTTATAATTTCCTTCCAAAATATTTCTTTTCTTTTCCTCATACAAAATTAGATCAAGTTTTCCGTAAATTGGCGAATAAGTTAAGCGTTCCTTAGGTCGGGAGCGGAATAAGTAACATAAGAAAAATGTAGTTTGCAAAATGAATGGTGAAATGATATCTCTAGTAATAATAAATCTGAGAACTAACGCACTTCTAACCTGTCCACATCATCATTCATGCTAATTCCTTTTGTATTTAGTTGGTTGAAGTTTAGAGGGTAATCTGTTATTACCTGTAACATTTTGATATTAGTATTCATCCCAATTTTCGGTTGAAAAGCTTATTTATACATCGATTAGATAAAAATCTTTCATGTCATGCATAAACCTAGTATTGCAAATCTGTGAAACAACACATCGGCTAACTATATCGCTTGTAAAAACGAACAGATGAAAGTGTCTGAACCAAAAGCTAAAAGTTTTCGGTGTGTCAGTAGTCATTGGAAGCTTTAGGATCTATTCTAATCTTAGATTAAAAATCCATTAAAGTACCTAGCTAATTTACGCCCTAAAATACCTCAAAAAGTGGAAACTATTTGAAATGAGCCAGTAGAGTATGAATTTTGGCGTAAAATAACGCGATATAATTGCACATCAGATTACAAATCGATTTATAATTGACATGTGAAAACGAGTAAACAATTCGGTGGACAAGTTCTACATAACCGAGATTTATACAACCGCACCCTTCTTTCTTTCTGAGTGATTATGACATCGTTCATATTCCATTGATGGAGCAATATAATTTAAAGAAATATCTGAACATCGGAGCTTTAAATCAAAGACTGACGAATAGCTTTTAAAAATTCCAATAATATCGAGAGTTAGGTAACTTCTGATCCACTCCATCAGATCTTCCATGAAATCTGGTGATCCACCAGATTTCATGGAAGATATAAAGAGAAAGTATGGAAAATGGAGACAAGGAAAAAGCACCTGCAATGAAAGATTTAAAAGCGTCCTATGAAAGAAAACTTTAGTTATACAAAATATTCAAAAATTAGGGTAAACATGCTTTTCATGATTACTAACATGCGATAATTTTAAACTCACAAACAATTGAAAGAACATTAATCAATTCAAGTTTATCAACATTAAATGTTAAAAATAATCTCGTATCAGAAGCAGATATTTCACAGGAATCCAAAAAAGAAATCAGCAATGAATCCACATCATTACTCTAGATGAGCGAAAACAATAACAAACGAAAGTTGCAGAATTTTCTAATTATTTGAAGATCTTATTCGCTTGCTATTTTGAAATTACCTATGTTCTCAGTTAATTAAAAAAATTAACCCACTAAATGGGCTTAAAAACTTCCGACGTTTGATAATTTCGTCTAAAACACTTTGAAACAGTCTTAAAATCAGACAAAAATTTTCTTGAAAAACATTAAAATAAACTAGTAGACAATTTGATATAATTAATAGACGTATAATAAACTAATATACAAAAACTAATATACAATTATTTGTTTGTGCAATTAATTGAAATAATTAAAAATAGTTTCTGAAAGTGGAATGAAATAATACAAGAAAAGAAAGACTTCAAGTATGAGAATTTGGCAGTTTTAGAATATTTAAGAGAATTCAACTTTGAAAAAAAAATTTTAGGATTTTTAATCATAAAATGGACAACGTGATATTACCTAATATCGCAGATCTTCGAGGAAAGGAAAGATCGTTCAGAAACCATTCTCAATTTTTTTGGTAATATGTTATAAATGAAAATTTTATTGATACTTAAAACTAGCAGTAATAAAATCGTTGGTAACATATTATAAGGGAAAATTATGCAAATATTATAGATGCCAATGTTGAAAGGAAGTAAGAAATAACACAGCAAGAATTATAGCTTCTCATCACCCGATGTCCTTCGTTAGGGAGAAGGCGATCTGAGATACGCTGTCATGTACTAGTAACAAAAACTGGAAAACAAGTTTTGCAAATGGCACTTCGTCCTCTTTTTCAAATTGTCACTACATGTCGTTTACAGTCACATTCCTTCTTATGTAATATATAGGCAAGCTAGATAGGCCCTCATCATTGGAAGGCTAGCAAACACAGATAACGCTTTACCCAGTAAATTAACCGTAATGTAACATAGACTTATAAGACTGCTCATTTGTTTCTCTTTGTCAAAAATACTTCTGGATAAATTCTTCTATATTTTTCCATTATTATTGGAATTAATCAGTCAATCAGTACATATATCTGACAATGCATTTACAGATTTATTGATATACCTATTACTTAATGAGGATTTAATGGTTCATAAAACATTAAAGTAAATCTTTTTACTATTATTCAATTAATTTTCGTTCATTATCTGTGAAGGAATGATTTGAAATTAAAGCAAATTAAATCACAGTGAACATAATGTGGAATAGAACACTTATAATTTGAATGAAAAGATTTAAAGATTAAAATTTGCTTGTAAATGATCGAAGAAAATTACCACTACAGAGGATTAATGATCATACATAGCATCATTTTAAAATAGATTTGTGGCACATAAGATGGATGACCTTAAAGTAAAATAATCCGTCCCCATCGCTATGTGCATATATATATATATATATATATATATACCACTCTTTTTAACGGTGGCGCCAACATAAACCTAAATTTATCTTTTTACCTCCCTGAAGTTTACTAAACAATTTGATGAACATTGAAATGTTATCCACAGTTAATCTGAGCAAACTTGCCAGCATCAGTACAAAATTCACGGGCAATACGCATGGTCTAGTCAATTTAGAGTATCTCCACCACAATTTGATTCAAAGCCGTTAAGAAGAACCCACCGATCTGTGAAAGTCATAAAGAGAAATTTGATATCCGGAGAAATTTCGCCAAACTGAAATATTCTCCGATGATGATAATAGAGCATTGTTTGAGAATGTTGATAATACAAAATTATTCTTAAATATGTAATGAAATCGCAATAACTAATCACTTTTTCAACTTGCAAATTAATAATCATTTGTTAAAATGAAGACTTTTATCGAATCTATTGGTGTTCATAGAGTAAATCTCCGAAATAACCCTAAAATAATATTATGTTGTAAACTCAAAAGTACAAAAATTCCAACTTCCAAATTACTACAAATTCTTACTACTATTTTTAAAAAAAATTTCAGATTTAATATATGAGAAGGTGATGGAAAAGGCTCAGAAATAAAAATGTAGTTTTTAGGAGAATTCCCGTGACTACGATACTATTGATTAATGGTTAATTGTCGGGTATGTGCCATTGCGTGACCTTTGATTTTTTTTTTGAGAATTAAAAGATGTTTATTTGTGAGCAACTTTCAATAGTTTTTGCCGTGATACGCTCTCAACTGTCCGATTTCCACTATAAGAAGGAAAAAATGTGAAGAATTTGTTGAACATGTTGTGAACAAACTAACGGTTTTCGTGATCGAAATTCAGAAATTCTGTAACTGTAATAAAAATAAATTAATTTCGGAAACTTAATTAAAAATTTATTCAGCCCTAAAAAGAAACAAATAAAATCCACGAAACTGAGAGGAAAATAAAAAATGACTTAAGTGATTTCCAAAAAAAAAAAACAATTGTATCCGAGCAAATATGATTCCTTCTCGTGTAAAACAACACAAATTTCTTGCTATCTATCGAAGTTTAGAAGATTGTATCAGAAGATTATCAGAAGGTATCAGAAGATTATTTTACTTAGAAAATTTTTGTCACATTCTCTCAGATGCAAAAATCAATAAGCTATTTACCGTTTTGAAACAATAACAATACTTCCATTTCCTATGGTGAATTATTCTGTGAACTTCATTTAACAAATTATTTTCAAAAAAATTTTTAAAAATGCTAATAATAGAAATAGCAAAGAAAACATTAGCGAAAATGGAAGTAAAATTTTTAATACTAGCAAAGATACAGAAAAAATGGAAATACTGTTTCTGCTTATTGATTGATGAGCAAAATGGTTTGATGATTGTGATGAATCAACAAATTAAACATCAAGCATTCATTCGAATGAGAGACGAATGGTGGAGAATTGGTGATGGAAGAATGAAAAGAACCAAGCAACAAATAAAATCGATTATAGTATACCTAACCACTCATCCATAACCAAAATATAACTATTGGTATTAGATAAAATAAAACAAACAGAAATATTAAGGGAATAATGATGGTGGTAAGATGATAACAACACTATGATCACTTGTCATAAAAACAAACAATCACTGTAGGAAAATAAAGTGAAACGTGATGAATTTCATGATGACAATGTTACAAAGTTTCACTCATAGTAATGCTAATAGAATATGATAATGCTAACATTAAACGATAACGACATCACTATCATATTTGTTATATTGTATTTTACAGAATTACATACAGATCGTTAAAATAATCAGCAGGTCTTAAAATGCCCAAAAAGGTAGTAATGAATAGTAAAAATTTGTAATTCAAATGGAAACTGTCTTCTGATTGATATTCGTTCATCTCTACGTGACCTTTGTAAGGCTCAGAAATGCTAATAGTAGAATATGCCAGTAAATTTAAAAATACCAGTGAATAAATATAAATTGGAAAACTTAACAGCAAGAATAAAAACTATTCCAGTGCCTCTTTCTTTCAAAACTTTCAAAAAAAGATTCACAACACAAATATATTTCCAGAATAGAAGTCAATGCCACCTTAATTTTAACTAATATGCACTTAACAGAAACAGGAAAGGAAGGGATGGATGTACCATCAGGAACGATCAAAAATGAAGTAATTTCAATCAAATAAAGCAAACCTATTCTTCGCCGACTTTAACAAAATCCACGGTGTCGATGACAGTAGTAAAAATTCCAGTAATTACAAAATGATTGCAGTAATCGTGGTAATAATTGCAGTAATCATGGTAATGATTGCATCGCTAATCAATTAAATAGATGAAGAAAATATAACTTTGCGAATTTCTTATACAACCATAATTTGAAAATTATTTCAAGAAAAAAAATGAAAGAAACTAGCGCCAAATGTTTCGATTTAAGATTATCTTACAGTGAAAATTTTACGATACAAAAAGATCATGGTTGCATAAATTCAAATTTGATGCAACAGTTTCGGAAAACTTCACAAATCTTTCAGAAATTAAACAACAGTTTAAATCTTTCACCAGTATGCTAATAACCATCACAATTAAAACATTTAAATGTTTACACACATAACTTTCGGTATGTGCTTTTAAAATTTCCATTTCCATAATCATCTGACATGATTATTCCTAACTTGCAGTCAAATCTTACTAATATGAATCGGATTAATCAAACCCATAACTTTGGTTAACTATTTAGCGGCACTCAATAAAGCATATTTAAATACCAAAAACTTCGTTTGGACTCTTATCCACCATTCTAAATATTGCTTTTTAATCCAAACTGTAAAATTTAACATAATATCATTCCAGCGACAATTCACAGGGTTGATTCATAATTTTTGATCATCATCAAAAAAATTATAAAAAATTTATTCAAAGTCTTATGAACTTTTTAAAATTCGACATCTAAAATAATTATAGGTGAAATTAACATTATCATACCTTTAATAGAATTAAACGAGCACATATATTGCTTATGTAAACAAAGAAAAATGAAGAATTCTTCAACACAAGTTACAGTTATGATTTTTCAGGAAATGACGTTTAGTTCTCCATCGTTATCTTCCCAATTTTTTAGTCCTAGAGCTATTATAAAAGATATGCAAACAAACAATGTTTAGATCAGATTTCTGTGTCAACAAACTCAAAGTTATTTTGTTTTATTGACAGCATATCAAAATGTCAAAAAAAAAGATTTATTATTTTACTTTTTATTCATCATTTATTGAGAAATGTAAAAGATCCCTTTAAAAGATGGAATGAATTGTAATGTTTCGATAAAACAAAAACTAATAATTAATGCTTAGCATCTAATTTTAAAAGCACTAATGTTTTCATTTTGATTAATCGGTATGTTAAAAAAATCCAAACTAACAGATGAAAATCCTTTTTGTAATTAATGAAGAAGTTAAGATGTTCAAAATTAAAATCGTTGAAGATAGCACGTATTCATTTCTCTCTATATATTCCTTACAAATTTCAAAAGTTGGCTATCAGATCAGCACAGATAAATATGGATAACGAGAATCCTGTAAGTCCAGTAAGTTTCTTCTCTTTCTTTTCTTCACTATACGCTTTTATATAGAAAATTTCTCTTTTAAATTTCTTCGGGGAAAAAATCTTTTCCAGACAAATACTCATCTATAATTAATATTTAGATAAGGAAAAGAAATGTATCAACAAATTTATGTTTTCACTGTATCCTTCTATACATTAGCGAATTCTTTAATAAGTAATCATGACAATCAGGTTAGATTTGCATGAACATACTAAATATGTTCTACAACGAGCTCAATTTCTTTTTATACAAATATAGGCACAATTTTTTTGTCCCAATCATCAAAATTATTTAATAAATGATTGAATACTGAGTCATCAGCATTTCATTCATTCGATGTTACTTTTCAAGAATTTTCAATATCGCTTTTTAAACAACTATATTATTCCATGTATCACATTATTATTATTCAGGATGAAAAAAAATATTCACTTCTGAAAATTTATGCTATTCTTTATGAACGAAAAGATCATAATAGTATTTGATAATGTCGGATCTTAAAATTCGATTTCATCAAAAAATTGAATTTTGAAGCATAGCTTCAGAAATTAAAAAATTTTCATAATCTTTATGATTAGCAAGACCCTAAATTGAGTGTTTTTCAGCTTTTGCAAATATCATCGACACCAAGCCAGATGAAGATATAATTTGGGTAAAACAAATATGGTGCAAGGTTACCCATATATTAGAACGGGTATAGTTTTAGAACAATCTATTAAAAAAGACATCTTTTTCTTTTTGTTAAGATATAACAATTAATTTAGTCTGTTGTAATTAAACCCTTACTTGCAAGACAAACATTCCAGTCCAACTAAAGGTAAATTTCATCAAAATGATTAAGTCCAATAAATTTTAGCTATTTTTGATCAGAGTCAAATTAAACTTCTACTAATCAAACTAAAAGAAAGAGATATATCATGATAAAAAACAAGAAATGAAAATTACGTTGCTGAATATATGAATTTTGAGGTCATCAAAGAGTTTACTGTATTGAATTTGTGCAACCGGAAGCAATTAAAATGGAATGAAATTTGAAACTTCCACTCAGTGAATTTTATGTTGTTTATAAATAATAATTGAATGTTTATAAAAACTAAATGGAAAATGGATATTTGCGAACCGCTGGACTACATTAAATGAAAAAGAGAAATGTGAAATATTTCGAATATAAATGATCAATAAACCATACTTAAATACGAATTATAACTCAAGCTTTATGCTCCTTCTGAGCTTCTAAGTGACTTTTGCAAATATAACTACTATAGCTTAAACAATTTCAGGTCAAAAAGCTTGCCGTATTCCATGACATTGCACCTTACATTAGGCGCAATAATTTTCACAATTCTAAAAATGTAATCCAAAAATAAAATAATTTTCTCTTTCACGGTAATACATGCTTACCGAAGCCTTTCTTTTTCCTAAGATACAAAGAGAATTAGGAAAAACAACGAAGTTTAAATAATAAAAGCATAGTATTAGAATAAAGTAAACAGTGAATAACATACGATCAAATGGTACTGTACTCTTAATTTCATTCCTTCAATAATGATATCTATATAATTTCCAAGATTCTGCAAAGAATTAAACTTACTCTAAGTTCTTTCTCTTGATTTAGAAAATTGGTGCTATTCGTAGTAACCATTGAGCCAAGTTTCGCATTTAGCTGCTGATTCTGCAAAGAAAACATTTTGTTCTTGTTCTTAAATTAGAGATGTTGACTCAAAAATTAGAGGGAGCTAATATTAAAACCCTAACTCTCACTAGCTACACAATTAACGATAGTTCATATGAATATCATTCGATATGATCGGTAACGCTTGCACTCGCTAAACTTTTTGTAAATTAACTGCAAAGGAACAGAATTCCAGCATCTTTCTTTTGAAGAATTTAAAAGAAAAATTTGGAAATTTGACTATTTCTTTATTGCTGCTTGATGTAATGAAGAAACCATTCATTTAGTATTTCACCGTCGAGAATGGTAAAAAACGAACAAAAATAGAATTGTGATAATTACTTTTCTATTACAATATATGTCATCATTAACAAAATAATCAAAAGTAATCAAAAATAATCTCACGCATCGATGAGCATTCCCAATTTCCTCTTCGAGTTTCCGAAGTTGTGTATCTTTCATTTCCAATTGTTCACGATGCAGCATCAAATTTGCTTCCAATGATGCGATCTAAATTGACGCAGGTATGGATGACAAAATCTTTCACGAAGTCAAACAAGAAGCAAAGACAGTATAAATTACGTTTTGTCTGTACAACTGAATGTATTGAAATAGAAAAAGAGTAGATAACTGAAGTTTCCAAAAAACATTCTTGTATTCGGAAGAGAACATTGAGGTTAATTTTGGGTATCGAAATAAACTAATTCAAATCCAGAAAATAAACTAATTCAATGTCTCTTTCATCTTCAAATTTAATATTTATTTTAAATATAATAATTACTTTCTTAGAAAACCAAAATCTCACCTGACGTTGATGATTTTCGCAGCTTCCATCAATTATATTCCCGTTTGGAGTATTTTTCATCATCATTTCACGCTCATCATTGTTTCTCAACTGCAGGATACGATTCTTTTAAAAAGAACAATATTGAAATTTGAGAACGAAGATGAAAAATTATGAGTTGAACAGGGCAAGTTAAGATTAAGGGAAGCAATAAAGACAGGAAATAAATTTTTCAAAGGTTTTACATTAATGCGTATCTTAACTTAGAATTGTGCAACGGTAGAAAATAAATTTCCACGAAATGAGATAATTGTAAACAGTTGTTCCAAAAATTGAAATCAACATAGATAAAAATCACAGAATTATATATATAGTACAATACAAGATTAAGAGATTGTTGTAAATTATTTCTAAAGTAGAAAGAAAATTATGCATGGTTCATGGCTCACATCCGTAAAGTTCAAAATACGTACCGAGGAAATGGAATACGTAATAGAAACAGAATTTAAGAGCTTAAGCTTAAACTTCTAGATTTATTTAAGAGAAAATATACAGTGTTTTTCGATTGAAACTGAATCGAAAATAATTGTTTCAAACATCAAAATAAATCTATACGATGATGGAAGGTATAGCATTGAAGGAAAATAAATAGGATGAAGAAAAGCAAAATATTTCTAAAGCATCATAGCATGTGCATAACTCCATACAACACGAAACAATGCACAAACTAAACAAAGATAAATTGTGTTAAACAATGACTGTCAGCAACGCACACATTAGATGTGTGTGTGTGTGTGTTTGTGTGTGTGTGTGTACCAGTTAACACTAATTTTAAATGTGTAAAAAGCAACGGATTGGAAACCAGATTTTTTAATTGATTCCAGAAAATTTGAGGACAGACAGCACTTTGTGAGAATAACATTTTAACTGAAAATAAATCTACATTAGATCAGTAAAAAAAGTAAAAATGCATCATTTAAATGATTCCGAAAAAAAAAATGCAACAAAAAATTGAAATTCATTCGTTGTTTTTCTTTAGGATTCATCCAACAACTAACTGGCTTAATAGGAATAATGGGATAATGGGTTTCCACAAAAACTTCAATGTAGAAAGCTGCATATCAACTTCACCAGGATATTTTCTTTTCGCCCATGTCTCAAATTGATTTTAGAACAAACCTGAATTACTAAGCTGCTAATTTCACAACAGCAGACATTATTTTAGCAGTATTACAGTTAACTAAATATACCACTATTGCAACAAGCTAATTCTTAAAACTTTAGGACTATCCCGAGATTCGCGAGTTCCATTGATAATAGATCAACTGATTGAGGTAATTAATTATACATAAATGATAACTTTTGGTAAGCACAGTGATGACGGTTAAAATAGGACTAGCACTGTCTCATCCTATAATACCATTAACTTGGCCAATTTATCCCCATTTTTTCCATCTGGATTCCATGCAGATTTTGCTCTCCACACATCTGGATGTTCATTAAATTTAAACCAGCAGTGTAATTGCTGTGCATTTTCCTTTATGAGCAGTATTTTGGTTAATATCGAAAGTGACAATACAAGTGGTAAACCTTATTTCATGCATTAGTTGACTATGTTCACTAGCATCCAAATTGGGATGTAGGATGCCGACCAACACTGAAAAAATGGAACAAAGTGTCAGTCATTTAATAGTCACTCTTGAAATTACCCAACTGTTCTAAAAAATCATTGCCAATGGGCATAACAACTTTGTTGCAATTTTAAAAAATCTAAGAACAAAATCAATTTAATGAAGCAACTTTAAAAAAAAAAACAATAAAATTTTGTTCGATAGCATATTAGAGCAAAAAACCCTTCTGTTTCTCATAAACAATGTGGTTAATAGGGAGAGGATAGTAAATAAATTGACGAATTTCACTTTTCACGAGATATTAGTAAACATATATATGATGCAACAAAGGAAGCAAAAATTGCATTCTTTTGATTTTACCCCTGATTGATTACTATAAATTTAGAAACTCTTTCTGACAGTTTTGCAGAAGCATGCAGATATGTTAAACATATGGCATGGTCTTCGCAAAAGCTAGCAATCCTACTGATGAAACTACGATACAAATGATCATATGGATAGGGAAAATAAGTAAAAGCTAAAGACTGAAACATTTCACTAATTATCAGCAAAAATTAACAAGATTTCATGCTTTAGAATCTAATAGTTTAATGTGTACTCTATAGCTCCGCTTCATAATAGAGACAACTATTCTTTCTCCAATAATAATGACTTATAGTAGTAGTTACGGTATTCGCCAATTTAGAACCAAAAATAACAGCTACTTCATATTTGGAAGAAAATTTGATAGAAGGAATCATAAAGAAATGGTAATAATGATATGATAATAATGATATGAAAAAGCTTGAGCGGGAAATGAGATGCCAGTGACCAAACATAGAAAATCTGCAAGGCAATTCAGAAATGAAATATAGATAAAGATACAAACAGTTGCTACTGATATCTTATGTGCCAGTTAGGCAGGCATACAAATAAACCTCTAAACGAAGGGTGTAAAACTTAGTTGACTTATACTGGTTTTCAACTTTTTTCATGCTGATTCTTCTCTATGGCAGGAAAAATTTTCAACATTCTCAAACGAACACCGAAACGCATTGAAAGAGACAACCACAGTGTTAAGAGATGGAAATTTAGACCTTCTATAAACTGAAAGCAGAAATGGCAAAATATTTTTGTTATGTATTGAAGACAAAAATCTTCTTTTCTACTCTCTCGGCCACTGTGCCAAACAAAGCGAAAAGATTTTTTGAATCTTCAAAGTGATTAATATAAATTTTACAACACAAGAAGATTGTCAAACCGGTATATGCCCAATGAAAGAATTTTCCGCACCTTTTCTGTGTTAAATCTGATTAGATGATAACAACAGCAACAAATTTTCACCGAAGGCAATCAAATTAATTGATTTTATTAGATTTATTATTGTTTGGTAGCTACTAATATCAGCATTATAGAAGATGGTTAGTGAAGGATATAGTTGAGCTAAGTAACATTTTTATAGTCAATACGTCATAAAAGGTGTTCCATAATATTAAAAGATTCCTTTCTTTCCTTAAGCTGGAGGATAGGATACTCAACAAAATAATTCAAAACTCTAAAGGCAAAAACATATTAAAGAAGCTTTTCTTTTCAGTTGAACATTTTAATACTATATTGAGCAAATCACCGCCATAACACATAAAAGGTTTGCCTTGTTTATGAAAACTTAAGGACCTATCATTCGATATCTCAGCACTGCTTTCTTTCCAAAATGTGTGGGAGATAAATGCATTTGCGAAAGAACTAAATAATTCTTAAACAATTAACATACGAAAACACAGGAAGTCGCTAATCCAACAAACAAATTCTTACTTCATTTATTTGATCCTGCAGTTCCATAAGAAAGGGTGGATGCTTGCGAGCATATTCAACTAATCGTTCACAGTATTTTCGTAACGTTCCGGAATTTGAGAACGCTGTTTCGTCGTGTTCAATTTCTTTCAATAAATTATTCAGAAAGACAGACTTTTCATCATTAACGTCAACAGATGGATTCATAGAATTCAAAACCTACAAAAGAAACATTAGAAGTATAGAAGTAACCGTGTCACCACATGAATGGTAGCGATTTTTCATTTAAATTTAATAATACTCTATAAGTGTATAGACTTTTGAAAAATGGCATTAACCTCTAAAGCTTCATCACGAAATCGATCATTGGGTAATAGTAATTTCAGCTGATCGATGACATCTATAATAGAGATTGTCATCAATGGAAATGAAATAATCAGGTATCATACAATGATGTTTATTTTTTAATCGTAATACTTCAAACAAAAAAAATGAAACAAAAAGTTAATATGAATTTCGAAATAAAACTGAAATTTTAACTCTGTCAGTGTAAACTTGACAAACCAGTAATTCAGCCTCTAAATTATGAAAGCAATTAACTAAACAGCAGTCTTACCAGCCAAAATGCACGCAAACTTAGCGTCATTTGTTTTGTCATAAAATTTGAGCTGTATTTGAAGCAACTGCGCTATTCGTTCCGTTTTAGCCAGTTTTCTTGCTAGCTGAAAATTTGCTTATAACATAAGGACCATTTAATAACTAAAAACAATTGCTACTTTTTATTTTCTCTTTCCGATCTTTTGATTCCTTCTCTGTTTTACATAATGCTTATTTCGTGAGGGCAATTTCAACTTCTAAATCATCAGATAATATCAATCTTTAATCAATACTACAAAAGCGCGTAAAATTAGACCAAACAAGCAATAATAATCTAGCATCTTCCAAAACACTTTATGCTCCATAAATATTCAGAATCCATCCTAAGGTAACGATCGTTGAGTAAAAGAAAAAAGTCCCGGAAAAGATATCAAAACACAAACTGCAATTTCAGCTTGACTGACCAATAAAATAGATAAAGTGGAAACTTACAATTTTGTTGATATTACGCAAAGTTTTGATTCCTTGTGATTTATCTGCATCAGCATAATTCTCAACCTCCTCAAAAATAGTGATTGAAACTTTTTTGTTTTCAATAAGTTATTTATTCTTTACCAATCTCTAATGTGTACTTCGCTAATAAAATCAAAAAAGTACAGTGCACTTTTTGAGAAAAACATCCTTGGGATTTTTTTTAACGAATAATAAGTAATTTAGAATATCATGGATTGGTTGGAACTAAATCAAACAGCTTACAATGGATGTAGTTTTGCCAATGGATACTTCTTTTTTATTAATTGGCTTGGAGTTGCCACTGTTTTCTTCCGACGACTGCCTACAACCAAATTTCTGTTTCCATCGATATTTTTCAATGAATGACTCCATGAATGAATGTTGAGTGGAAAGAATTACTTATTTCTTTTTTTCGAAAAGTTTAAGTGATTCGAAGCTAGGAAGAATATAGTTGATTACAAATCAGAATTTGCGAAGACCCTAAATTTAAACAATTTAGTTAACAAAAAAATTTAAACAGACTTCAACTTGAAATCTATGCGTTCACCATTTACGCAAACCAGAGTTCTGTCATCCATTTCTTGTACGATTATCGGTGCAATATCTGAATCTGAGCTTCGTCCAAGATATTTCCTTTTGCTTGTCGTATAGGTGGCATCAAAAGATATACTTCGTGTCACTCCATCCTTTTCGATCCTTTATCAGAATTTCATACTAATAGAAATGACTGAATCTGCACAATAGTTGGTTATATAAATTAATGCTGTATAACCATTAGAGTAACAACTATTAAACGAGAGCTCATTTTTGGTTTGAGACCTTTCTAAGGATAAATGAAAGGTCGATGGTAAAAAAAAACAGCAAAATTAAGTCAAAAAATTCATCATTAGATTTCCCGACATTTAAATTGTTGTACCGACTAAAATCAACTAAGACAATCACTAATCTCTTCAACGAGATAGTGATAGTCCTGTACTACCGATAACATAACCGAGATTAGATTACTGAACCGGTCATCTAAATATTGTAGTTTTTTCTTGATTAGTTGAGGCTTTTGAGAAATATGATTCCATGACTCGAACAATTTAACCGTTATTTGCACTACGATTTCTCAGGCCAAATCTCATATAACAGATCATCATGTAAATAAAAGGTTTAAAAAGGGTAGAAAAAAGAATTACAGAAACGTTTTGAAATTCCAAAGTTCATAAAAGGAATAGATTGGAAAAAGAGTAATGAACAGTCATGCTTCGTACTTCTCTTTCAATTCTTGAACTGCCTCCGTATTTCCAGAAAGTTATTTTTAGGGCAAGCAAATCAATCATTGAAAAAACTTTTACCACTATCAATAAATCATTCAGTAAAAAATAAGAAATGACACAATATTACAACAAAAATGAGTTCGCTATATAATGGCAATTCTTACTCATCTAATTGCTCATTTATTTATTAGCCCGTTTATCCATTGATTTACGTTGATAAGTGATATATAACAATAATAGAGATTATATCATGAATGTTGAACGAAGATAAATCCGGAAATAGCGTGAACAAAAATAAATCCAGTAAAAATGAGATGATACCTTTCAATTTCTTTTTTCTTTCGTGTTAGAAATTCAAAAGATCGACGAAAAAACAAGCTGGAACATGGCACTTGAATCTCAGATGATGCCCTGAAATGCATCAATTCTTTCAACAATATTTCGACATTTAATTACGTCAAGATTTTTATAATTAGCGATAATTACAATATGTAAGACGAATAATTTCTCACATATTTCAATGATTGCTTTATTGAATCGGAAGAAAACTATCCCTACAGAAGTAGTTTTCCTGTGTAATGCCTTAATTTTCGTTCTGCATATTGGCAACACTATGCAGTTTGCACCAAAATTAATGAAATGTTAATTGGGTTTAATACCACTGTCAAAAAAGGCAAAGTTATGTGACTGCATCAGTAAATTACAACCCCTTCGATTCGGTTAATCATTAACCATTATTTCATCATTCGAGGAGAAATGTGCTATGTATTCCATAAGACATTTATTCCTCTCCATTTTTTAAATGCATTAATATTATTGAAAGCAAATTCAAAAACTAAACGAACACAATGGTTTCGATACTTTGAGCGGTGTTGCTATTGAAGCCATGTGATTGTACAAATGGCGCTGTACCGTTTACAATCTATAAAGTAAATAGATGAATAGAAAAAGAGCCATAAAGCTTCCATATCCTCTCTTCACAATAAGTGCATCATTCACTTGTTCACTAGTGAAAACATCATGCAAGATAATCATTGTTTCATCCACATATAATACTAAAGTGATACTGATTCATATCGTAGAAAAATCAGATCAGTCCCGCAAAAATCGTAAATTAAACATGAATTTTCAGAAATGAACAATTAGAAAAAATGATGGAAGAGTTTTGGGAAAGATCTATAATGCCAGCTTATTAGAATTTCAAAAAACTTCTAAAGCATGTTTATTTATTGTATAAATATCGCAATATGAAGTAAATAAATTCTTGGGCAATGACATATTAAGATTAATCTCTCAAATCAATAAAAAAAGGAAAACCGATCAGTATTTATTGACAGTTTATTTTTAGTTCCACCAAGTCAATTATAATCACTTCAATAGTTATTGCGCTGATTTCATTTCATGCCGACAAGTCCGAAGGCAGTTTCAATAAACATGATGAAGAGATCTTGTGCTAGTCAAATTAGCTTGCATTAGTACTAGGAAAATACCAATTTATGTGTACCGCATTAGCTAAGACAAGCACTTGAAACATTGAAAAGCAGCAATCATGCGTGAACGATATAAGGAAAAAAAATAATTAAACAAAATGATATAGAAATTTAATTTTAGATCCTATTATTATAAGCATACTTGGATTGTACTCATAAAATGATATAGAAATTAAATTGCAGATGAAGAATAGATTAGGAGATCTGGGAGAAAAAGAAAAGGATAAGTTCATTCACAATTTCGTAAGTTTGGTTTCGTGAATATTTTGTACTAAATCTATCTATTCTCACTTTCTTGCTTTTGTCCTTATCTATCTGCATCTTCCTTTTGTTGCAGTCCAGCAGCAAATCAAAAGCTCTAGGTGGCACTTTCTTTGTTCTTGATGCTGTGCACAATGTTGCTATTTTCGTGCAGCAAGTTTGCTTATCCACATGCAGTGGCAGCTTCTTATGAACAAAATTTGTTGGTATCTATAATCAGAAAAATGCATTAAAATTGATGGGGGTTAAATGATGGAAGCATTCCTTAATCGCTGTTTCATAAACTGAATGACATTATTTTTGTAAACAGCATTTTAGACTTCTCAATTCGACAGAATTTTTACCATATTAAGTGTACCTTATTCTTCACAATCAAAAAATTGAACCATTAGGCGACGTTTATCTCAAATATTATTAAGATATTTCTCACTGGATTTTGATGAGAAACCAGTATCTTGCCTGACTAACCAATTATAATTAGTGATAATTCGTGTTTTACAGTGCACATAAAGAAGTTATACAAATAGTGAGGACCAAAGGCGGTATTGACTGGCTAAATAAAATTTGAAGCCATAAGTTTTAACGACAGTGCTCAAACTCACCCTCCTCCATCGGTGTCTACAAAGCAATGTTTGAACGGCCAATATTGACTTACTTCAGATTACTGAGTGGTAGTATGATTTTTTTTAATCACTACAATATGACTGCATCCCTCGAATAGATTTGTTATGCATTTAATCACAACTAAAGCAATAATTTTATTTATTGTCCTCTTCTGCCGAAAAAGTGCATACCGTTGTGAGATTCATATTAGAGAAAGTAATAGGTTGCAGTTCCCCGGATATATGACAGCTTTCGCGAGCATGTTCGCCACTTGAATTCTGATTGATAGCATTCGACCGCTGAGACGGTGTACTTGGCACACAGTCTTTTATCACGGCCACATTTCTATACTCTGATCTGTAAGCAGCTAAACAAATTTGTCAAAGACGTGCCAAATTAGGAGATTAGAAAGCACCAATAAGTAGGCATTAAGAAAGCTTAAGGAAGTAATTTAATACTAAGCTACTCAGGTTTTTTTAACGAATGGTGGCATATTTCATGTTATATTACAGCAGTACGATTTGGATATTGTTTTGACTAAGAGAACCTACTAAAGCTTGAAACAAAGTTTTTCATTAAAGAAAAAATTAAATTGTAGGATTTCAAAAAACTAATAGATTTTCAGGTTCTAACGAAAAGTGTTATCTGGAACATAAGCGATAAGTAACCATGACGTTATCTGGAACATAAAGTGGTAAATAATTATGATCTCTGGGAATGTAACAAGGTGTTTTGATAAATTAATCAGATAAATTCTGCAAACGATTATGAGTTCACTTCAAATCACAGTTGCTTTCAGCGCTTTAAAATGATATAAAATAACAATTTGTCTTATGACTTATGCAAGTCACTTAAATTCTAATAATTCTCCAAAAAATGGGAAAGAAATCTTTACAACAATCTCATTTCCGGTGAGAAAAACGACTTCGTGAAAATTAAGCAATTTTTCTTCACACCAATCTGCTTTATACTGTGGTGTGAATGTATGAATGTCAGGGAATTAGAATGAGTTTTTTTATATTATTTTGTTTCAATGATTAGAAGGACTATCATTCAAAAAATGTGGAATCACACAGGGAAATACGGAGAGACTTATAAAGTAATTGCACAAGAAAAAGAAATTTAGTTTCTACAATTTAGTTAGTAACAGTTCCATTGCAATGAATAATAACTCCAAAGCAAGTTTCTATTTTCTTTTAGCTTTTCCTTATAACCTGTTTTCGTGCTCCCCTATTGTTATATGTTCGTATTTAGCGTTAAGAAAGTTTCCCTATATTTTTCATCATTGAAACAGAAAGTTGCTGGGAATTACCATAGAATCGAAGCCAAAAATTTAACTTTCAGTTCAAACTCCAACTTATATTGAATTAAAATTTCGAACTACAGTCACTTGCCATCTTTTGTAATTGAAATGTTTTCCAGTTTGACTCCTTCTTTCAGTCTTTTTATTTGCTCTTAGATTAAAAAATTGGAAACTTTTTGCTTCTATCAATGAAATGAAACATAATTGATACCTCTCTTGAACAGATGCTAAGTGCCGAGTATGATCGGTATCCACAGATGATGCATTTCGTTCCTTTAAGGTGTTGAATAGAGTAAGAAAACTTGTATATTTCCTGGTATCAATGCCATCTAAGCAAACCTTTTCATTTCTTTCAACAGTATCACCATTATCGTCACTGCCACTCTTCACATCCTTAATTCGATTATGCATAACAACACATTATGCTTTTTCCTTTCATTCGAGCAACTGTAATTAATAATTTGATAGTATAATATTTAGAATTTGACTCAATTTAAAACTTACAAAGAATATAAAGAGGAAAGCGACTGAAGTACAAGATCGAATTGCAATCCACTATTCAGAATTACTTGTTCGACACTATATGAGAGATTACATAATAGTACACTGGAATAATCTACCATTATTGATGTACAGCAAACCTAATGATTAGTAATTAATTTAATTCATTTTAAAAAAGAGAAGGAATTTCAGTACAACTTAAATAAATAAACTCATCCTAACCCGGTCAAATACTTCACTTTTTCTAGAAAGCCTTTTATGAGACTTCGAGAAATCGTAATAATCACGCATCTCCCAACTCTACCTTTTCCATTATCATGAAAATAGCGTGAGATCACAGTTTTCATGGCAGGCTAACGTGAGCAGACCTGTTGCAGCACACTGTTGTTTCGGGTGACGGAATTTAGTGGTCGTGTAATTTGTCTTTCCATGTTCTTAGATGATTAATTTAATTTCGCAGGATTTTATCTATCAGTCATTTAATCTTGTTACTTAATGCGCACGCATTTAGATGATTCAATAATTCTCGACTCGGATATCACGGAAGTTTTACGACTGCATTAAAATGGACCAGTTGGAAGTGAAAGAAGTATGTTCCACTTCAAGCGAAAGTTTCTCTTCTTCAAGTGAAGATGATGATGGTTCGGTTAATTACGAAACATTATTTTACAACTGTTTGTTAAATTTTAATTTTGGATTTTTTTTCAATTTTACTAATATTGTCATTCTTTCGTTACTGATTTTATCTCTTTCAGAATCTCTTGTAACGGAAAGAAAATTGGACGACCAGAAGACAGTTTGCTTTGAAAATAGAAAGCAACAGGAGGTATGTCATTTCATTAATGATTTTTAAGGATTTCAGATTTGTAAAGGACAGTGACCGACGCAATTTCTTTATAAGAAGATAATTGGAAACATTTGTTGCAAAGATAATCTTTTTATGTGCTTTATTTTTGCGTCTCATATTTAGAAAGCTTGGGGAGCCAGAAATAAGTGTCTTTGAAATTAAATTTTTTACAATTCATAGAATAAGTTGAAACGTACGAAACGTGAATTGCAAGCAGAACATGCAGCGAAGCATGAACGGGATCGCATGAGTATGGTATTGCCAGATCCGGCACGGGATCGAGAGCGGGAACGCAATTTTGTTCATCTTGCAACGAAGTTCATTTTTCTTTCAAATCAGTACATTTGATTTTTCATTACCGTTTTTAACTTATTTCATTCAGTGTATCCCTACCTACATTTCTCATTACTAAATATAGTGGTTTTTTGATTCAAGGGAAATATTATCTTGTAGCGAACAAAAGTACTTCCATGTCAAGAAATTGTATATAATGTACTTTTCTTTGTCGTTTTTAGCTTATTGCATTGAGTAAAATATGCATCTGATATAATTGTTGGGGTCTTTAAGATATATTGCCAGAACATCAAGTATAGTTTGTCTGCTATTGATAGTGTAACTATATGGTAGTCTATTTCAAAATTATTTGATTACAGAGATATTAGAAAAATACTTGATTATAGAGGTGTTGTCCAACTGTTTAACGCAGTGGCTGCACGACAGAAAGAGTTAAACAATGCATCAGCAGCAAGTATGACAAGCAAGAAACGACGGTTACGCAATATTTCTGCAGAGAACTTCAAAAGGAAATTAGTAGAATCAAGCATAGTTAAGGTACCTAATTTTAAACATTTTTCTGCCATTGCTGTAATTCCAAAAATTGAGAACGTGAAATTTCATTTTAGCTAGATACATCTCGCATGTTGCTCTATATTTCGTAATATAAAAGTTTTCCCTATATTTTCGTGCAATATAAAATTCAGGATGAGGTGAGTGATACAAAAGATTGGTTATCCGATGATCAAGTGACGATTAAATCTGAAACAGAGGACTTAGATACCTCGGGAATAAGGACAAAATCAGAGAGTGATTCGGAATGAATGGCGAACTGTTATAATTTTTGTTTGAGATATTGCATAAAATTTTGATTTCCTTGTGGTATGCTTTGCTCAAGTCTGCGTCCTGATGACAGCGAATCTATGCGAATTGAAAGGAAATAAAGTATAGGCGGGAGGAAAATCCAAGTAATTTACTAGAAAAATTAGTAAATTGCTATTTTTTGCTAGGATTGCTGAAATTTTAAGATTTTATTGTTGATAATTCAAAACGAGTATAAAAATTTGTGCCTTTGCTTGTTTTACAGTTATGTAATTGTGCCATAAGAGACAATTAATTTCTTTTCAAATGATTGATTTTTGCAGTTTATTTTGTATCTTAACTTCTTCATAGTATTTATATTAGAAAGTATACTGGCTGCAAAGACAGAAATGTTGTAGGAAATTCCTTGCTGGTGGTGGAGAGGCAGTGTTATTGAAAAGTGGAATACCCCAATTTTCGGGAATATTGCTGCGGGATGCTAAGATGTTTTAGAGAATTCATCCGATCTTACACCAAACCATTGTGGGATGTTCTATTCTCTTTATCGGTAGTATGCTCATATTTGGGATCGGAAATGATTACAATCAATCAGATTTGGTTCAATTCTTTTGCGATTAGACTCTCGAAGTATTTGAAACGACTCTTGGTTGTTGATAGTATTCTTTTATTTGAAAAGCTTGTTGTTCTGTAAAAAATGCGATGTAAGACTGAGCGGAATTTGTTGGACAAAAGAGTGACAGATTCTTTATTTGTTCAAGGGCATGAATTGTTTAACTAGCTTGGAAGAATTGTATATCTATAATGGGAACTATGAAATTGGCATTACAGCATATATTTCAATGACTTGACAAATAGAGATGAAATTCGCATTGCAATATTAATGCGACAGCAGTAACGGCATTGCAATAGTAATACGACAGTAGTAATGGCATTGCAATAGTAATGCGGCAGTAGTAATGGCATTGCAATAGTAATGCGGCAGTAGTAATGGCATTGCAATAGTAATACGGCAGTAATAATGGCACTGCAATAGTAATGCAATCTTTTCAACACTAATAGCAAATATCGGAACAAATATAACTGGAGATTAATGAAAAACAATTTCAGATAATTTCCTTAACATATCTAATTTGCTTATTCATTAATATTTAGAATCCAGAGATTCTCATATAAATTTTTCTTAAATAAAGAAACTTGAAATACGATGATTATCTTACAATAAGAAATAATGCAATGAGAGCATTGAATGTTAATTAGGGAAATAAATAAAATGCATCGAACCAATCTCCATGTATCACATTAAATAGTGATGGATATTGTTGGATGAGCAATACGAGAGTTGTCTGAAATGACATTTTGCGCACTCAAAAATGATCGATCAGAAGTACAAGAATACGCCTAATATATGCCTAAGAATTCATTAGTGTTAAGAACGCTTATCTTTTTGAGATTTCAAGTGAATGGAAATTTTAGAAATTTTTTTGAATGGGAGATTTCCATAAAGAAAATTTTAACGTATTTGAAGTGAAAGTACATTATATTTCAATTTAAAATGCACGAAATCGGTAATAATAGAGTTACCTGATCATCATCGACGTATTTTCTGTAAATTAGATTAACGACCATTTGATGACATAATTGATGGAAGCGATTTAATGAATAGATATCACCACCAAGAAAGCCACCGCTTATCACAGCCCAATTTTTACGATATAAATCGGCAAGCGTATATCGAGATATATTATCATACGATGGTGTCACCTTAAATAAGTCGCATATTTCCAGAATATTTGTTAGTTTCAAATACGCTGGTAACAAACGTGAATTCCTACAGCCTAAAAAGCATTCAACTATTATCATATCATAAATTTCCCTCTTTCCTGAATCTTTCCTATGAAAATTGCAAAATGGTTTGTTATGTGATGCAATATCGGAAATTTTTTTCCTATTTGATGACAGCAAAGTTCTGAATCTAAATATGAATATTATTAAATAAATCAATTCATACTATCTGTTTGTTTTCACCTCTTTGACGGTACAATCTCTTCATTAACTGCAGCTACCTGTCGCAGATATTTTATTAATAACTTTTTTTTATCATAATAATCTTGCTGAATCGCTGCATGAACTCGTTACTTAAACATTTAAAAAAATTAATCATATATTTTAAACAATGATTTTTGATTCAGAAGATGCTTGCTGGCTCATATCAGTTCACATTCATGAAATTTAAGGAATGAGAAAATTAGCAAATAGATAAAATGAAATGATACCTTTACCTTAATGAGGGAAATTTTCCGTCGTACAAAAGTAGGATTCCAATGAAATGATGGCGGAAATATGGATTGATTGCCATGCGCATAACCTGCATCTAACCATGCAAAAAATTCACTTTTGAATGGATTACTTTTCTAAAATAATTGCACGATCATTTCAGAAGTAATTCTTAAATGTTTTAATTTTAACAAACTTATTTCAATTTGTTTTATAAAATATGAATGTGAAAAATATTACTGACAATTTAACATTTATTAAAATTTTAGATTATTTACGTTCTTAAGAATACAATTAATTAATTAATTATTTAATTAATTCATTATTTTAAGCAATTTTTACATGTATGATGAAATAACCGAAATGATTTACAAAAATCTTATACTTTAAAAAATTTTAATCTGCAATTGTTTTTTTGAGAGATTTACCGAAGCGTTGTACAAGAAGTATGATTTAGAGTTCACTAATATATCGTATTTGGCACTTTTTGCTTCCGGATGTGAACTCATCGAACGATCCCATTGTTGATCCCAACGTTTATCGTTCTGTTCATCTGCTATTACTTTCATTGCCGCTTTCACGTATCGATAAAGGGGAAGTTCAGCCAAAGTTATTGGAATTATCTTAAATTTTCGACAATATCTTCTAATATACGGAAAAAGAAAAAATGACACATTTAGCGCTTAAAATTGAATGATATTAATTAAATTATAGTTTTAATTTATAATTAGTTGTAAAAATAATACACATACTCATTGTTTTATTTATTCTGTATAACTTACCTTAGTAATATGTTCCAATCGATATAATTTCCTTTGAGTATAAACATGCCTTACACTTTTCAAATCAACAAAAATGACTAAATTAACTTTTAACTTTAGCAAATTTTCCAGGAAATTATAATAACTTTCCAATGGACGACGATATTCCCACCAATCACCTCTTCCAATATCCAATAAAGCTGTTACTAAAGTAAAATTTGATCTTCTGACCCTGAAATTATAGACAGTAAGTATATTAATTTGAAGGAATAAATAATGAAAAAGTAATAAATTTTTCCCTCCTGTTATTTTCATTGAAGAAATGTTGCACAAACTATTTAGATTATATTATACCCGAGGAAGATATTCAAAAACACTGCTTGTGCATATATATTATTGTTAGATGTTAGTTTCAAATTTCTGAAACTTTTTTACTTCTTAACTTTTCAACAGCTGCTTAAAAATTAAGTCGTTATCGGCTGTATCGTAAAAACCAGAAATTCAATCTGATTTGTGCTAAAATTTTTTGAAATTGCTAACCTTGTTATTGTAGTTGTAGTATGTTGGAAAGTTTTAGCTACTTTTAATGGATCCAATATTTCTTGAATATGATCTTCTGGATACATTTTTAGTGTAGTTTGTGAAACAGTGAATCGGGGATTGATGGTGGTTTCGATAGATGGCGATGATGACAAAAATTGCATTGCTTCAGTTTGTTGTTTTATTTGTACATCTTTTAAGATTTCTGAAAAGCTCTGACCTCAAAAGCTTTGAACTTTGAAATGTGACCTAAGCTTATAGCCTTAAAAAATTTGAATATTAAGATGTAGTAAATTAAAAATGCAAAATTACCTATATTAAATCATAAAATTTAATATCAACGTTTTTTTGATAAATCAATATTCTTTCTCACGTTCGACAATTGTAGTTTGATAGAAGGTGAAAGTACTGGTGTGGGCGACGTTGATGAGAAAAATGAGAATGGAGATAGAAAGTAAAAACTCGGCTATACTAATAATTCTAGCAGTAATCGTGATAATGACGATAGAATTTGTAGTACAGGTTATAAAATTAAAAGTTTGGTAGTTGTTAACACAAGTAACAATTAGATATTATTACTTCTATTGATGTAATCTGTCAAAAGGTGAAGTACTTTTTAACGAAATGGTACTTTTTGAAGTATTGGAGACAATTGCTATTTGTATCGTATTGATAGTAGTAATAGCAGTAGCTGTAGTAGTAGGGGAATGGCTATAATTGTACTTGGAACAATAGGCGATATTATTTTCTGTTGCTCTGTTGTTGTCGCTGTTGCCATTGGTACTGTTGCTGTTGTTGTTGTTGTTGTTAGCGTTGTTGCTAGTGTTGTTGTTCTCGGCGTTCTTGTTGTTGATAGTACTGTTGATGTTGTTGTTGCTGTTGTAGTTTTTGTTGTCGCTGGTGTTGTTGCCATAAAAATATCAGAAGCACGTGGAGCAAAAATATTCCATATGAATGATATTTTGGTAGTTTCATTGATAAATGCGATATTTGAAATATTAGCTCGAACTGAGGAACCAATATTGTTAGTAGCATTTGTTACTTGATACTGAAATATTTTTAAATGTCGTTAAATTATTCATTATACTTTTCAAATTTCTTATGCTAAACTCATTCTTCAAAATATAAAGCAAACAATCTTATAAACCAAAGATAATTACAAAGTTTAAAATTACATTACCAAATCAACGAATGAAAACAAAAATAATCTCAATAATTTCTCTTCCATTTTTTCTTCTTTTCACTAAAGATTGTTTATTGTTTACATCTCACCGTAACATAGAAATTAGATGTAGAATCGATGATCGAATTTGTTACGGTTGAATTATGTTTGCTAGTTCTTTCCAGTCCTGGTTTCTTCATCCTTGTGTACTTCCCAAGCATTTTATTAAATTTGTGTCGATGTCGATGTTTCAGTGTTGTTGGAGTATCCATAGTTGCATCTGATATCATTATCAATGATGATAACACTTGATAATGTGTTGTTAGTAAAAATTTTTCTATCATATGGAATTTTAATGGAATTTAAAGAATTAAAAAAAAGCTTTGAAAGTGGAATTTAGAAATTAATTAAATGGTAATAATAAGTTATAATTATTATTTTAGTAAATTTGTATTCATTTAACTCATTTTTTTGATTCTAATTTTTTTTCGAAATTTGTTATAGTAATTTAAATAGATGATATGAAGAAATTTCAAATCCTAATTGAAGATTTGATTCAGTTCTGACTTCTACTCTCATTTCAAAGAGGGTATCGGAAAATAGCAAAAACAAAGAACGATGAAAATGAATGAAATAAAATAGATTGTAAAGAAAGGTAATCCACAGATTGTGCGATTAATTATATTATAATGTTAATTTACATAATTTCTATAAATTTCATTCTTGAGAGATCAAATAATTTTTCATTCTAAATGAAAGCTTAAAAACGGACCGTATATTCTTTCTGATCGAATACTATTAGCATATTTTTGGACTGTCGTCGAGACTGTTGCCAATTTAATTTTATTCTATATGAAATTAGCATTTATAATAATAGTATGATAGGAATAAATAATATGAAATTTCCTTCAAGGTTTATTCAAATGTCAGATGTATGAAGAATAATTTCGATAATTGATTTCAGGAAACTTTTATTCGCTGTTTTCAAAATAAGAAAGCTATCAGTTCTAAGCTATCAGAATAGAAAGCTATCAGTTCGATTATTTAATTATTTTGTTACAATTTTCGAGTACAGTTAGCAATTTCATTTCTGATTTTTAATTCCTTCAAAATTTTTTTTTTAAAAGAAAGAAAAATATCTGAATCAAAAATTGAAGAAAGATATTCAGCTAAACAATATCCGGTTATACGTTTTACTCACTTATACTTAATTATTTATTATTGAACAACTTAATTAATATTAATTAACAAAGCGTACTTGATTAAATATGAATACTTTGATGATATTATAGATGATGAATAAATTGAGTAATATAATAATCGTTAGCAATCCAACGATAATCGAAAGAACGTACAATCTCATTCCTTCACAATATTCCTCCCATCCATCCAATTTATTTTACTGCAAATGTTATTATTTTTTTCTAAATGAATAATATCATTTATTTTAATTTCATCAATGGATTTTTATTATAAACTTTATTATTTAAAACAATAGATTATTTTGAAAGGTTAAGTGAATTCCTAACTTAACTAACGTTTAATTTATAATGCTAAAAATTTGAAATTTGATCCTATCATTACACTATTTGTCAATATTTTCATCCATTACACCAAATTTTCTCAAAATATTTTCTCTTCAAAACCCTCAAAAAATTTTGAAATAAATTTGAAAAAAACTTTCAGTTTGAGATAATTATTCCTATCGTACACTTTCCTAATTATATTTCTTTTTAATTAATATTCATATTTTAATTCTTACACAAATGCTTCTTATTTTAATAGTTAACTTTTTCTTTTGTAGTATATATTTGTCTGTCAAATCTTTCAATTGCTTTAGCCTATTTCATTGTTAAACGATTATTCAACAATTTTATAATAAGTTTAATCATTTCAACTCTTCATATTTTATCGTTTGAGAATTTGGTGATATTGTTAAGATAACTCTTCTGATAACTCTCTTGATAATTCTCACTTATTTTGTGAAAATGAAGGATAAGTTAATCCTTGAGAAAGAATGATTTTTAAATTTTAATTTTTGATTAGTTAATAAAATTATTTTTTCTCTTTTCATTAATGAAGTAGATTTGAATTTAATTAAAATTCACTTAGAGAAATCTTACACAGTGTGATTAACAATTGAAAGATGATTAATGGCTTCAATTAGGCTGATATATCGCGAACTAAATATCTAGCGGAAATTAATTACTATTTGATAGAAATACTTTTAATACGAAACTTTATTTAGTCTTCCAAACATTATGCTTCATACGGTTTAATATCAATTTTCTTTTTCTATCTCTAATTTCGGATAGGTTAACTAAGAGCATGAAATTTAAATTAGATTATTGACATATGCAAATGAAGCTAAATAGTGATACTTTATGAAATTGTTAGAGCTATTTAACTTTTAATAATTTAATTAATTAATTTCCTTTTTAATCGCTGCAAATATTCTTAAATTCCAAAAATCATATAATTAAAAAATGTTTGAAATTTTTGAAAACGTCAAAAGTTTTTCAAATATACTTTAATAATATTTTGTTAAAGATTTTTTGAATTTTCAGCATCATTTTTTTTGTGATAGTATTTGTCATCGATTTCCATTTTCCGACAAATTTCAACAACTCATTATGTTAGGTCGCTAATTACTTATTCAAGTAGAAAAATTATAATAAAAATTATCAATATGATAAAACATAAGTAAATTATGAGTATTATATAAAATATAAAATATAACTGTATGGAATATCATTTATAGAAAATAAAATTAATTTCCACTAATTTAATTCAATTTGAATTTTTCATATTCTAATGACTTATCAAATGGAATATCTCTTTTAGTGGAAGATTTAAATTTTAAAAATGAAAAAGAAAAGATTAACAAAAATGAAAGATAATAAGATTATTTTATGAATATTGCCATTGAAAGTGATTTTATCAGTAATCAATGAAAATAATCAATGAATTTGGTTTGTAATAAAAAACGAAGAAAAAAGGATGAGTTTACTTACGGGAAATTTCATGTGGAAATATTACATATTGCTTTTGTTTATATCTGTCACTAAAATTGATTCATTCAGTTAAAAATTTATTGCAAATTTTTAACGATGAAATTGAAACGTTGTTTAACGCACTTATAGATTATATATATATAATACATAACTTTGAAATCATTTACTTTTAAATTTTTCATTTCTTATGAAATAAAAAACCTTTCTATTACAAATGCAATAGAACTTCATTTCCTTCTGTATCTCTTTTGTGATAAAAGAATTGATTATCACAACAATGATTTTAACTTAGTTGAAAATTGAAAATAATGCTGATTTGCATTTCGGGATGATACAACAGCTGTATATCGAATTTGATAAATCAGAAATCAACGAGCGATTCTATAGAATATCACTAGTTTAAATTAACGTTCATCTTCGGATGTTTACCGGGACATTTTACATCATCTTACATCATATTTGATTTTATAAAGCTGAGTAATAATAACAAAATTGTGATAGGCTACGACTATTGCAACTTATTGAAGGTGATAGGAAAATCAGAAATCAGAAATTAGAAATCTAAATTTGTGTTGTAAAATATAAATACGAGAAAAGAGTTATTTTTGGTATCTGAAAGTAAAAATAATTCTTTTTCATTTTTCTATAAATTCGAAAAATAGGTTACTTCATGCAAACGATTGAAATAATTGAATGTTTTAAAAGTATTTCTTATTTTATCTTTGAGATGGAAATTTATCAAAATTTAAGTTATTAATTATATTCATAAATTTTCTGCAAAACAATCCATCGGTTTATTCAAACGATCGGAAGGATTAGCAATGAAAAGATGAGAAATTAAAAAAGCATGAACATTTCTGGAAGATTAACACCCCTAAGCATTATGTATCTGGCGCTATTAACATGGCACTATTGATGCGATATTGAAGAATGATAGGGGAAAGTTCTATTCTACGGTTCTAAATTCTTGCTTAATAAAATTATCCAACAATTCCTAATTAGTGATAATTATTAGAAATAAATTTTGCTGGCAATATTAAAGCATTAAAGAACAGCTTGAGAAACAAAAAATCTGAGAGTAAATGATTGAAGAAAAAAAGGAAAACTTTTAACATTTCCGACTTCAATATTACTATATCATGTCTGCCTCCTTTTTTTGATCTATTTTTACAATGATTTATGAAAAGGTTTCAGAAAAGATTTCTAAAAATTTCTAATACTAAAAAAAATACTACGATACATTTATGATTTGCTGATAGTTAAAGATTGAGAGGAAATTTATTTTACAATTAAATTTCTCGTATTCTAAATAGATATTCAAATTTTTTAAAAGTGAGATTTTTATTATTTAACGATCAAACTTTTCGTATTCTAAATAGGTGTTCAAACTTTTTAAAGGTGAGATTTTTTATTTTATCCATTTGTCCATATATAAAGTAGGTAGATTACATTACCTGTAAAATTATAACTTGATGAATTATCATTCTTATACTTGTGATCTCAGTGATATTCTATTATCAAATCATTTTAATCATTATGCTTATATATTCGTATTTACAAAACAAACTTGAAAATTTTCAATTTAAAATTATGATTTAAAAAGTCATACGTGTGACTTACGTCAAATGATAGTAATAACTGAAATAAGAAAAAAATACAACGAATTGCGTTTTATATGTTAAAAAAAAATTACGTCTTATTCACGTCATAACGTTACGTAAACATTTTAAAATACAATGTTGCAAACAATTTTAACAATTTTAACGCTTTAAATATAATACTTACAATAATTTGCGCATAAAAATTACAGCCTTATTTTATTTTGAATTCGTTGAAACATCGATTGGAAACGATGCAAAAATATTTGCAATGGGTTATACTGATAACATGAAATAACGAGTGGAAGTGATGAAAAAATGTTTTCAATAAGTTTTATTGATAACGTAGAACAGCGATTGGAAATGATGCAGTAAGTTTTACTGATAACATGCAATTTGCAATTTTGCAAGTAAAAAGTTATCATAAATTGAGAATTAAAAGGAAGGGAAGAAAAGAATAAATTCAACAAATATTTTAAACACACAAACATTAAAATGTTTGTTAAATTGTTTGCTAAGCAATCAAATTATTATCAGAAAAGAAATTTGAAAAAGAAAGTTTAAAAAAATGTGAAGGACGTTGAAGATAGGAAAAAATTAAATTGAATGATACCATATTTCCCAAACAAAAACCTGCCTAAATGAAAGTATGAAAAATATAGTCAAATAAAAATAGGC